ATTCTTTCTGGATACAAATTTGTAATACACATAATTTTCACAGCCACTTTAAAGGTAACAGCCTTTATAACACACGCTATAAATCACAGCGATTCACACACTTTACTTACGGTGCCTACTGTTGCCTTGACTCAATTATCTGTCTCTTCAATCTATCTATCTCTGCCCTTGCGCTGGTTTTTCTCGCCAGGCTTATATACTAAAAAGGAGGGCACCTGGCAAACACTAGGACATTCGCGGAGTTTCTCGATAATTCATGATGTTCTAGAAACTCCAGCGCGCATGCTCCCAGCGTCTCGTGACTTCCGCTGTCGTAACAGTAACTTTTCACAATATTTATTCTCTTATGACAAAACTATAAAGAGAGGAAACACTGGAAGCAAAGTGAAAAATAAAATAAAATAGCATGAATGAACAGACTAAAATGGATGAAAACAAAAATACATACTTAACGAAGAACGAACAAAAGAAAAAAGAAATCACTCATCTTGAAAAATAAATTGCAATTTTCAGAGAAAACAAGCTATGGATAAGGGAGGAACATAAACAGAAATAAGAAACAACAAATATTACTGAAATATTGACAAAGGGGCAGAAATGTCTCAAATGAACGATGAAAAAGTGATAAGTCTCTATGAACAAAGAAGATAATTTGTTAAAAGTCATGGAAACAGTGAAAACTCAAAATAGAGGATGCAAAAGCAAAGCAAATCCCAAGAAAATGAATATAAAAAAAATATTAAACTTTCAATGTATTTTACTAACTTTGCTTTTGAAATGGCTCTATTAATACATGTACTAGATTAGAAACTAAAAATACTTTTTCTGAACAAAAGTTCTTTAAGAAGAAACAACAACATGAAAAAACATATAATACTGTTGTGTTATATTAACAATTAGCAAAAAAAAAGTTATTTTTATCTAATACCTGGTATGGGTACATATATCATTGTCTTTTAATGACTTTCTCTTGAATTCAAACAAATCAGTACTTTGAAAAAGGCTAATAAACTATTGAGGAAATCTAGTACATATTCAATAGGGCTCTGTGCCAAATAAGATACAAGACAAAGTGAAAAGGAAATTATATTTGCAAATAATAAATTATTGTAAGAGAAGTAAAAAAAAAAATCACTAGACAAACCTGAATTATGCTTATAATGGCTAACATAAATAAAAAGTGGAAATTGCATTACTTCTTAGTGTATGACATAAAATTAAAACAATACTTTTTTACACTTCCATAATAGCATCTTAAAATCTCATTTAATGTCTGAAAATCGACCTCTCAGTATTTCTAAAAACGTTTATTTCCTATAATTAAAGAAATGCTTTCCAAATTTATAAAATATTATTTTGCAAAAAAAATAAAAAAACCTTCCATTACATTAGCAAATTGAACTTTAATCCCTGGCATCACGTTGAACTTTAACCCCTGGCATCAAGTTGAACTTTAACCCCTGGCATCTACAAATTTCTGTAATTATTTTCTAGTATGAAATTTTATTTATGGACAAATAAAATTTAATTGACTGAAATATTGACAATTGTTCCCCACTTTCAAATTCACAGCATTTTAATCTACTTTTGTTTGTTTTGAATGTGTTCTAACCATATTTGCATATTATTCTGATGATTGCTGTCCAAATTTCGATATACGAAAGGAATATCTTCTTACAAAAAATTCTTTTCTATTTTAATCTTAAGATACTTCCACTGTAAAATTATAAAGTCATCAAAATCAAAATACTCACGACAGCTCTGATGCTCATCCTCTTCTTCTTCACAATCTTTCTGATAATCACAGACCCACCTTCGCGGTATGCAACGGCCATTGTTGCAACGAAAGTTGTCGGGAGAACAAGTTATCTCTTCTAAAAAGAAAAAAAAAACATTTAAAATATGGTTGTTTCAATAAGCATTTAAAATTAAATCTTTATCTCTAGTTAAGTTGAAAATTTATGAAGTAAATTTTATTACATCACTATTAGTCATTGCATGTTTTGAACCACAAACACAAACATCGTAACATACATCTAATGTGGAATATTCTGTGCTGTAGCCTATAGTTTTATGACCAGTCATGATTAAGTTTGTTTTCGAGCAAAGCTACGCGGTAGACTATCTGTACTCTGTTCACCACGAGAAGTCGCAACTGAATGTTCGCCCTGTAAGCGCGTAAACTTACCGCTATCCCACAAGGGACCAAGATTAAGTTTAACTTTAGTATACATAGGTTTTATAAATACTTTGTATACTCAGAGAGAAATGGGTACTTCTCTACTCTAGCGGTGTTGTAAATCGTTCACTACTTTGTTTATGGAATTCCATTGAACAAAACTTAAATATCTGCAACTATTCTAAAGCCAAAACGTTGATTACAATACAAGGTCTAACTTCTTTTGTAGGTAAGATTTCATTAAATTTTCACATTTTTCCGGTAAAATATTTTACAATATGAAATATGGTTTGCAGTATTCTAGATTCTGGAATGTGGAAAACGAGTCTTTCATTTGTTTCGAAGTTGATTTTCAAACTATTGTCTATATATACACTTCATTAGAAACAAATATGTAGAGGCCTATGACTATGTCGGTAGTTCCACAACTTAGCACAAGCCAATCGATACTTCAGTGTTAGTGAGCATGGGACATAGAAATTAGGAGTAGGATGGGGATATAAAATGCATGTAATCAGAAAGGGTTTCCTTCACTTTCGTGCTTTCACTTTGTTATAAATATATATGCCACAGAGCTTTTGTTCATGTAGGGATAATGACAGTAACGTATAACAACAGCTAGTAATTTCTCTCACCTCTATCAATTTAGCAGCTTGAAAATAAAAAACTTGGAGAGACAGCTTTACTGTTATATGTGGTTGATTAGGTATGATATTGATCTGTGGAAGGCAGTTCAAGTAAGAATTTTGCTGTATGATTTTTTATATCAGTGGCTAAATGATAACAGGATGATTTAATTTCCATGTCGAGTGTTAACAACATTTACAATTAACGTTCTGCTTTCAGGATATCTAATTTCACATGTTACAAGTCTATATTCTTCGTTTTCTCTGTCAAAATAACATTACAGTAACACTGACAATACCAATTACAGTAATTCCTGATCACTTTCTATTGTGGTATTCTCAGATACACTACTGAGATTTATCTTGCAATTAAGAATAGTAACCTTAGATAACAAAAGAATCGACAGAAAAACAATCACGGATTAACACTGATCGAATTTACGTCTGTGACTTAGTTGAAGACAAAGTGCAAAATAATATTTGATAAACAACACAAACCAAGACATGATTGTCTAAAGACAAATGACAGCACTATTTTCTGAATGGAGAAATCTCCCAATGTCAGAACCAGTAGTGGTCAAAATTTGAAAAATTCTTTATCAGAATAAGAAAGTTTAAAGATTATACATAAAACACAATAGGGTCATTTCTCCTAGAGCGCATGCGTTACTCACATCACTAGCCAGTTCATAAAAAATTAGGAGAAAGTAATATATATATATTGTAGTTAAGCGCAAAGCTACACAATGGGCTATCTGTGCTCTGCCCACCACGTGTATCGAAACCAGGTTTCTAACGTTATAAATACGCAGACATTCCACTGTGCCAGGTGGGGGGGGGGGGGGGAGTTATAGCCTGAAACCTAAGTTCAAGTGTTCTACCGAGGTGAAACCGTAGAAACTAGAAAGTATACTAAGATACGCAGCATTACAGGAAACGTTTCTGAGAGAAAACTTAAGTATCAGTGAGCAACTGGAGCACTGGTAAAGAAAACAACACTTGTATGACACTAGATATGTATATAAACAATCGGATAAAATGAGAAAAATTAACTTTTTATCAAAAATATATAATAAGGAACACATTCTTTTGTAGTCATATTCACACCCTTTGGTAACAACAGAACCAATGGTAAAGAATTTGAAATATTCCGCATTGTTGTTGAATGTTTATTACGTAAAACTAAAACGGTTCTTCAGAACAAAGTTAATATATGTGACGTAGTTTATAGATAGCCAAATATCAAATTGTTACGTAATTTATTATGTACCATTTTGTTGGTCGTTAAGACTCTGTTTTCACTTTTTTAACATGCTTTTTTTCGGCTGTTGCGCATTTTTGATTTTAGGCTTTCTTGTAGTACAAAGCAGAGTACCAAGGACAAACAGTTAATATCATAATAGGAATGCCAGGTGAATGTATTTCTTGCAATTTTTGAAAAAAAAAGAACATATAATAACCAAAAACGAACTAATTTCATATATTTATTTTGTGGAAATCTAATTTTAATGCGTGAACAGCAACGAAACAAGCGAGAAAAAAATGGTGGATAAATTATTACTTGAAAAATATTAGTTTTATGAAATGAAAAAACACAATAACAACAAAAACTTGGTTCTTCAGGTATAAGACATTGTTAAAGGTTCATATTTGTGTAGAAGATGTGTGTTATAAAAACAATATCTATATTGAACTTTGGCGTTTGTGAAATCAAGCTAGATTCTGGTGGAAATGGATGTTATTAATTCAACCTAAATTTATTTCTACATCGTTAATCAACGCAATACTACAATCTTGGTCAAAATGTTTACATATTTTGTAACAAATAAGATCATTATTATTAAGGTGGAATACAAATACACCTAGTGCTGTTAAACTGACAAATACATGTTATATTAAACATCTACATGTGTAATTTGTATAATGAGACAAGTTCTATGGACATCATGAATGACTTATTACAACAGCAAACAATTTTATCAGACATCTGTAGAAAGATATGTAATTCAATATTTCACCTATCTCAACAAAACCTTACCAAAACAAAATATAACAACATAATATCATAAATAGCGTCTGTAACCTAAAATCAGTTCATATTAAACATTCAGTTCTTAGTTGGTCCTCCTCTTACTATAATAACCTCCGCAAGGCGACGTGGCATGATATCGATGATGAGGTTATTGATGTAATCCACCGTGATTTCATCCCAACTTGTCACTGGAAGGTGCTGCAACTCAGTTGCAGTAGCTGGTTTATTGTCGCGGTTAGCACTTTTCTGGCTCAGTTCTGTTCAACAGCTCTCAATGGGATTACAATCTGGAGACTTTGCTGGTCATGGCAATCTTGTAACATCCTCCTGTACAATATGCACTGTGGAACTCAAAGTTATCGCTAGACCTTGCCCTAGCATATGGCAGAAATATCGTTTCCATTTGATGCATGTAGGAGGCGCCATTGACGTTTCCCTGGATGGTATGAAGAGCAGTTATTCCACCATGATGAACAGTTGCCCAAACCTGTACTGAACCACCTCCTATGTGTTTCCTGTGGGAAAGACAGTCTTCCCTCATCTGTTCTCCAGGAAAATGACGAACACAAATCCTACCACCAGCTATAGCAAGTCGGAAACAGGACTCATCTGAAGAGATGACATGTCGCCAGTGTCTTAGCTGTAAGTTGGCATGCTGTCTTGCCCAAGTAACACGGTAACGGCGGTGAATTCTGGATAATATCGAGTTGCAAATAGCCCTTCTTGCAAAATAACCTTTTTTGGTCAATCTCCTATTCGCTGTTCTTCTGGATACCCTGGAATGAATGTGTTCATGCCATTCCTGTCATAAGACGTCTTAACCTGATCAAAACATGATCAACTCTGGCAGTAATTTTTCGGTGACTACCAGTAAACTTCCTGGAACATCAGTTCCTGTTGTCCGATGACGTTTCATGATTCTGTATACAGTACACTCGGGGTACCCTACTGTTCTGGCAATGTCCGTTTGCTTCATACCATTTCTGGACAGTTGAACACTTTGACGATCTATAACTTCTGGCACGTGACGAGGCATGACTCCACACCAAGTGCAGAAAAATTGTCCGAACAAAGCGTTAATCTGCTTCGAAAAATATTATATCAAAAGCACACCTCTTTATACAACACTGATATGTGTGTTTTGACGAGCAAATGCACAAAAGACTCATAACGACCAGAGTAACAATTCGCACGTGTTTGTCTGGTCATACGCTACCTTCTCTGTTACTACTCGGGCACTCACTCAATAACTACTCCATGCACGTAGACAATAACATTAATATAGAACAGTAGTTGTTCTTTACAGAATGAATAATTAAGATCTAAATTATTCCTTAGTTAAGCCATGAACAAAAGACTCCTCTTTAAAGAGTTTTTCCAAACAAATGCAAATGGTCTCATCAAATGGAATGATTGTGAATAAAGAACTTATATTAAAATTAGCCACTAACATTAAATCAATTTACTGTCCTGGACTCGTTTTCATTTGTTAAAAGATCTATACCCTCCCAATGAATGTTTTATGGCAAGAATGCAAACATTTTGGCCAAGACTGTATTTTCATCAGATTTCTAGTTTTTGTTTGTTTGTTTTTTAAGGTTTCTAGTAAATTCAACTGAAATCATCACATTCACAATCAATGTACACCAGTAGCAAAAACAGTAATTTAACAATTTAAATTATTCCTATTTGAGCATTAATAGAAAACTAATGATGTAGAAATGGTTCTCGGAACATAGATAAATGTATTTATTTAAATGAAAAAATATTACTATTATAAACAACAATACGATAGAATGAGTAACTTGTATATTTAAAGGTAAATTTAGCATTTTTGTTGTATATTGTCAAGGCTCGTTTTTACTAGTCTTTCTGTCCTTACAGTTGTTCCAAATGTACACCACTGACATTGCGACAAAATCACTTATACACGCTCTTGCAAGGTTAGTGACATCCAAACCAATTATTGCAACAAAATAAAAAAGAAACAGTGTAATACAAACTGGCGTGACTTAGAAAAAATATAGAAAGGACGGG